TACCCCACCCCCTGAACTGCATTCATTCATCAAAATCCGCATGTGAATTCTGTACCAGAATTTAATGTCAAGGTCACGACTTTGAATTATCAATGAATCAATTATAAATTCACATTAAATCCCGTCATTTATCTGTTACTCAATTTAAAATCCAAAAGTATGAAAATATTTTTTATATTTATCTTAAACCCATTAACAATAAATTCATTAATTTTTTATTCATTATAAAAGAATTAATCAGTCATTAGTCGGAGCTGAGTTGATGGGGAAATTATTTTATTTATATTTTCGTGTCAAAATTTATTCGGAATTGATTACGCAATTGATAATAGTGTCAAGGCCACACCCTTATCTGAAATGTGACGTTACGACTGGTTTAATGCGTATATCGAGTAATTGATACGAAATTGGTGACTGGAAATTCAAGAAGTCACGGATATCTTTTTGTACAATTAATATTCGAAAATTTTCGCGATAATATGATCCCACGGTTTCTCTTTATAACCCACCAGCAATGACATTTGACACTGCAGTTCTATTTTCATGACCTAAAATAAAAGATCATAACCGGTTATGTAATTTAATTACAGTAAAAACTTGAGGGAATGAGTAAAAACGTTTTGCGCTATGAAAAATTACTTCTTCCTAATTGCGAATTTATTTGAATCACAGGAACTGCAATTCAGTGAAATATTTCAGTGTAACGAGAAAATTTACTTCAGTTATTTTTTAAATTTATTTTAATGAACTGTCTGACCTCATCCGATACTTGAGAACTTGTCCCACTTTTCGTTACACCTCCCACTACTTTCAACTTCCCTTTCGTTCTCATGCAGAACGATGGAATTTAAAATTGTAATTGTCCAACGTACACAGCATGCTAATTAATGATAATTAGAGATCAATCGAAATTAAATTCATCACGAGCGTAAAAACTGTCTTAAAAAAAATTTTAAAAAAAGAAACAATGGCTGGAACAATAAATATAACAATAATAACAAAATAAATAAGTGAATTTCATCTCCTTATTTTAATTACCAATTTGTCCTTCAATTGTTGTACAATTGAATTTTTTTTTGCGGTCCTACATAAATATTTCGTTTTTTGATTGATAATTTTTTCGTTTTTTTAATTCAGTTTACGAGGAGTAATTGCGGGGCAAAATTCGTAAATCAATTTCCGAAAATTAGTTTAATTAGTTTCATATTATCGAGTGTATTTGCCTGTTGCCATTGGTAATAGGGCAAACCACACGCCATTGTCTGGTTTGCAATTTCATTTAAGTTTTCAACTGGTTGGTTTACACGAGAGGGGTGGGTACCCATTATAATTGTACACAGTCACATGTACTCAGCAGCAGGTTAATTACTTCCTTACGTACCGCAACAGAAAAATAAAATACTCGTTCGCGTCAATTTGCGTTTTTATCACGTGTCACTCGTTTCACACCCGTTTTATTTATCCA